AGGTAAAAGATAAGAAAAGAAAGATAAAACTGCCGCAAAGATCATGAGAAAGGCTTATTTCATGCAGAAATAAAAGATGAGGATTCGAGCTTTCGTACTCTGACAGAGCACATCATCAGGAATGACGATACACAATCATTCATTATGTTTATATATCACATGAAAAGGAATAGAAAAAGCAAAGACATATGTTAATACGTAAGAGAACATATATATACGATCAAAGGATCAATGTCGGTGATTACAATCCAACGAACGGACAATATTTTTAACATGATATCTCTTAATATCTCATTTAACAAGGCGTTATTTTATTAATATTTAATCGAAAACTCCTTATACTGTTCACACAAATATTGTTTTTATTAAAATCGAAAACTCATATAATTCCCAATGAATATTATGATCATTATTTATTTACTTATATTTATCCAAATTGTAATCATGGCAATTGAATCTTTTTATTGATCCCATTCAACATCAATTGCAGTAGAACGATTCACATAAACCATTCATATTATCAACCTGACGAAAAAGTCCTCAATTATCACGGATTATCGTCGATTGAAATCTTCGAGATTAGTGCATCTCTTCTTGAAATTGAATCAAATGAAAAACGACGATTTTCTAATGAAAAGTACGAGGTTTTACTCGGAAAACTGTTGATCTTGCAAGATTATTTCTGATTAGATATCAGATTATTATTGGCTTTGACTTCGTTTAGAAAGATTCAACTACAGTCAACAATATTTCAACAGTTCCTACTGAGTTGAGATCAACTCTTTCATGGATAATCAATTTATGTTGTCAAAATCGAATGTATGAATATTCAATATCAATCAAATGAATACTTGAACAAGTTGAAATATTTATTAGAGAAAAAGATTCACATTTACACTAGAAAAGTCAATGTTATTCATTGCGATTGAAAGGAATCTATTTCTCACGCTAAAAATCAATTGTTATTATCAATTTCAAAGAAAAGTTGGAAATTTTCCATTCATATTTACTCAAAATATCATTTCAAATGTCGATTGTTCGTATTAATTCCATTGGATACCACATGATATCAATGAAATCAATTTTCTTACGTTCTAGCTTTGAACCAATATTGTCCCAATCGAACATTTTATGTTTAGGTGCGCAACATCAATGAAACGATTAGTTGAATCTCATGAAGAAAATCGATCACTTACGCTAGATAGTTTATTCTTATTCAATTTTATTTGAAGGATCTTCTCTTATATGAGACAAATCGATCGTTATTCTTATTTTGAATGAAAGTTTCCACGATTTCTTCATGGCTTTCCCGGTATCAGTTGGTTATATCTATTCGAATTCATACGAACGAAACATTGATTTTTCTCTTCGAGTAAGATCTATATGAAAACGATTGTT